CTCTGTGCCCAGGATGAGGTGACCCTTTTGTGGGTATTTATAGAGATCTGAAGGGGGGGATTGGGGGTGTGTGGTGGGGGTTAGGGGTATGTGGGGGTGGGGGGGGTTTGGGGGGGTGTGGTGGGAGGGTTAGGGTGTGTGTGTGGGGGTGTTGGGGTGGGTTAATGAGTGGCTGCTTGTTTTGGTGTCAGAATACGTGTGTATCTTCCTGGGGATTAGGCAGGGTTTTTTCTTCTATTGAGTTGTTAACAAGTGGCTGCTGGGGGTGATTAGTATGTTCATTGTGTGAGCTGCTCACACGGTCACAGATGCTGGCGAAACGTTAGGAAACAAAACTTCCAGAACACGGCCACACAGCCCGGAAGACCCACACCAGCCATCGTATTCTGGCCGTGAAAGCCTTCGACAATAGATTGCACCAAAGTTTGGCTGCCCCGTGCTAGAGCAGGAAAACATGCAGCTTGTGACACTGCATTATACATTTAGCACTGGAAAATACTGCCAGAGAGAGAGGAACAAAGCTATGTGGAATTGTGGGGTTGCTTGTTCAGCACAAGCCCCATATCTAGTTTTAACCACTGAATTTAACTTTATAGCATACCTTGAACTAGAACAGAGGTAGTGTAGATAAGGCAACATTAAAAACTTGGAAATGGTTTATTGTTCCAATGATGGTTTTATGATTCCACTGCCATGCTGATTTTTACAACTTCATGTTATGAACATTTTTTAAAAAAATTCCGTTTGCTGCTCTTTGCATTACACCCCTATGCCAATTCACATTTAATAAAAAAAAGATTCATATTGGCTTTAAAACACAGTAATACATTCTTCCCTAATCTTCTCACTGGTGTGTTTTTAAAATAAATACTGCCTACCATGACTTCAGCTATGTAAATAATCAAGTTAAAAATATCCTGTTTCAGCATGGGATGTTACTCTAATATTTTAATATGATTTTGATTATAAATTAAAACACTTATTGGGGGAAAAAAACCTTTAACCTTTATGCATATTAACATAAAGGTGACATTGACTATGTCAATCCATTATTCCAATGGTACTTAGACAGGGCAGTATCAGGAAACACTTAAATGTATTTTCAGAGAACGTTTGCTTCATTCAAAAACATTATTCTTTACTCCATGACCCAATACTATATAAATGATATTGCTCCAGTTGGGTGGAATTCTTTTCTTAATCACCCATCTGATGTGAGAGATTCTCCTTAAAAATTGCCTTTATTAATCTGATGTCATCAACAGATTTTGCCCACATCTTGCACAGCTTCACAATAAAATTAGAATTTGCATTCAGTTTTTAATCTGCCAATAATGTAATAACTATTTTTATATTAAATACACTATTCCATAGATAACACATTACTCATTCTTGCACTTTGCTAGTGCTTGATAACATACAAAAACTTAAAGTAGTAATTAGAATGCTGAACAAATCATACACATCCTGTTCTATATCAACAAATTAAAAAAGACACACCAGTTATTTCAAATAATGGTGGCATTTTACTGTTAGTAGTAAATTTTGACTATGAAGTTATTGTGAAATCACAAACACAAAAAACTGTTGTAAAAAAGTGCAATGAAGAGACAATATGAGAAAGACCATAGTGTTGCAAGAATTATTTTGAAATGTCAAGCAAGCACATGGAAAACAATTAATTTTTACTCTACATTCTGACGTTATATATTTATATATAATGTTATATGTATTATTCATATTCCAGTATGAACATATCCTGCACTTCATACAGCACATGACCTGCAGTTAGGAAGGGTAACTTCGCAGATGGCCACCGCTTTAGAATAATACCGGTGTTTTTGTAACAAAAATATAAATGCTATATACAAGTATAGATGTATCTTTAAATGTGTCTAAAATATGGTTTAATCAAGTTTCCAGATAGAGTTGTATGCAAAAATCTAAACACCTTTGACCAAAGTATATGTTTCAGAGACTCTCTAGGTGAACAGAAGCTGATATAGCCTCTACCCAGTACAAAATTAGACATGGTATCTCTGCAAATTTGAGTATATATTTACTGTTTCTGTGCATTTATTTCCTTCCTTTTGAAGTTTTTCCTATTCTTCCTTGCAGAACTCTTCTAGCTTAGCAATATTCTTAAGTCTCCTTGCATGTACTGCATTTGGAGATCTCCCCACCGATTTTCAATAACATTCAAGTCTGGGAACTGTTTCCAATCAATGTCTTGAAACTCTGAATAGGGATTCCTAAACTTTTGAATACAACTATGTCTGTTGAGAAGTCATATATTTGGATGATGCCGATATCTTCAACCACTATAAATAATAATGGAATGTATTTTTTTTTAATACTCAGCATTCTCAACAGAAAATATCTGAACAATTAACTTCCGCCATTTCTTCTTATATCACAAATGAGATCAGCTGAATAAATTAAATTCAGTCATATTCCCTTGAAAATAAGAATTGGACTGTAGCTTATCTTACCAGTTTACTTCAGCATTAACTGCTCATATCAGAGCAGACAATTCAGCTCTATTAAAAATATTCAATAGCAAAGTTTATCTGTTTCGAATCACACTTCCTTACAGAGAAGAAGTGTGCAGATTTCAAAGTTTTTTTCCTCCAACAATGATGCATAAGTATATAGGCAAGAACAGTATCTGAGATGCTTTTTAGGAACATTTACTGTATCTGGCTATTATTTCAAATACTACATTAATTGTACTATTTTCTGTTTCCTTACAATTATATTTCTGAAATCTCTGGGCTAACTGCATAGGTATTTTTTGTGTCAGAACATCCTTATTAGTCAAAGAATTTTCATGAGCATACTATACTATGCTCGTAAAGGGACTTTAATTTCTACTGAATGCACTTGTTTCAAATACTGCAACTTACTTTGGAGACAGTTCATGATATACAATATATCACAGAGTCACATATCACAATATTATTTCCCTTGCTGCTTTACAAACATGTGAATCAGTAAATCAATAAAGGCCTAAAGTAGTCTTTCCCAAAGTGGTGCCCTCCAGATATGTTGAACTTCAAGTCCCCTAACACCCAGCCAATATATCCAAGAGCCATGTTTGGTGGGGGATTACAGAAGTGTGTCTGCACATCTCAAGGTAAGCTCACTTTAAGCATCAAATTTATTAACTAAATAAAGGCTTAGATGGCACATTTCCACACTCTAGAATGAATCCTGAGTGAGACTGGATTCACCATACTCACACAGAAACTGAGGCATGTGGCCTGCAAAAATGCTCCTCTTCCAACTGTGAGAAGAACTATACTCATATCCTGTGCATCTCCAAAAAGTGCTAGTTTAAAACACCTGTAGGGCTTGCAAATTGCTTTCCAAGCTCAATTTAAGGTGATAGTTTTGACCTGTAACATGCCTTAAGTTGCTATAATTGGAGAGGATTATCTCTCTCATTATGAACTTGTTTGGACTCTAAGATCTGTGGAATCGCTTCAACCAAACCTTTAAATGTTTTCATATTACTGTGATTTTTAGGATGGATGGGCAAAGCATTCTGTGGACAAACCACCCCATGCACAAAACAAGCAGTTATTTCATCCTGGCATAGACCCAGACCATGCATATTTGAGCTATACATGCACCTAAAACACATGTGTTCCAGGCAGAGGTGTTCTAGGATGGGGAGAGTGAGAGAAAGGGAAAGCCATTGGTGGTAGCAGCAGTTAAAAGGAGGTAGAGGAAAGGAAGGTACAGAAAGATGGTGGGAAAGGGTGGGCAAGTGGACCATGCACAATCATGGGGAGGGGGTCACAATGACACTCAGCTAAAGGATGGTAAGGAAAGGAAGAGATGG